GCCTTCCTCCTGGCATGCTTCTCCCTTTCGCCCTCCATTTGTGCCTCTTCAAATTCTGCAGCACTGCTGGTCACAGCTGACCTCCAGCTGGAGCGCTCAAGGGCCAGGGCTTCCCAGTTCTCAGTGTCTATGCCAGAGTTTTTAAGGTTGGCTTTGAGCCCATCTTTAAATCTCTTTTCCTGTCCTCCAACATTCCGTTTTCCGTTCTTGAGTTCGGAGTAGAGCAACTGCTTTGGGAGACGGTGGTCGGGCATCCGGACAGCAGAGTTGATGGCGGAGGACCATCGCTTCAATGCCGGTGGTCTTTGCTTCTTCCAGCATGCTGACGTTTGTCCACCTGTCTTCCCAAGAGATTTGCAGGATTTTCCGGAGGCAGCGCTGATGGAATCGTTCCAGGAGTTGCATGTGACGTCTGTAGACAGTCCACGTCTCACAGGCATATAGCAGGGTTGGGAGGACAATTGCTCTATAAACAAGCACCTTGGTCTCCCTACGGATGTCCTGGTCCTCAAACACTCTCTGCTTCATTCGGAAGAACAGTTAAGGGAATGGATTGGGAGTGAGATCCGTCCACTTTGTTGGAGATTTTTGAGAGCTGGGTCAGTCCAGACACGCAAATCACTCCACATGTAAGAGTTAAGGGACAACGCTGAGATCCACCCAAAGGGATTAACAGGGACATACACAACACAGACCCAAGACATTTTGCTGTCTGAGGTGCCCCAACTGCCCCATTCCACATGCAGAAGCTGACTGGTTGAACCGTCTAGTCAGCAGAAGCTGACTGGTTGAAAGGCCTAAGGGCATTACCACACTTGAGAGTAATAGGCCAGTTGATGCCAATAATCAAGGCAACTACATCACTGTTTTTCTAGGCATGCATCCAGAAGATGATGCCAACTGAAATAGCTAAGTTTGTGAAATGATTTCTAGTTTCCAAATCACAACCTCGTGCTGGATAGTAAGTGTCCCAGAAGCAAGCAAAATACAGCAGTCCTTTCACAGCAAAATCATGCTTCAGCCCGTCTATCAGCAGAGTCCAGCTGCTAACATCTGACCTTATCTACACGCTGTTTAGTAAACTCACAGATTCAGGTTTTCATCCAAAATATCTTCACTGTTGCAATATATACAAATGTACAGTCAGGGTACGCAGATCCACTTTCAGGCTTGTCCTTACAACTGATCAGATCCTCAGGGAGTCACATACAGAATAGACAGATACTCACAATGAGTCAGGGAGGAGAGAGAAAGGTGGAATATTTCATCCTTTGCAATCACCCTCACATGGTCATGACTCAGCCATTACCACACCCCCTTAAGGTGTGGTAATCATGACATTCACGGTCATTACCCAAGTGGTATCGATATTCCATATGTTCATCAAACCGTATTTTTATATGACTATAAATGCTGTGTCATTTCTTTCTAGCAGTGGTGGAAGGTAAGGTCACCAGAAGTGAACCCATAAGGCCATTTGAGATGGAGCCAATTTACTATCCACCTCCCAAGACTCAAGTATATTTGTCCCTTTCTGTTGTTGAAGGACTGGAACAGGGTGCCCCATCTCAGACCAACAGGTATGCCATAGGTAGATGGCATTTCCGCCAATGGCTGGCATCCTGTTTGCAACACATGTGTGCAGAAGCTGCACGATGCAAGAAGAGCAAACGATTCCCACATTGGGGTTGTACATTATACACTCTTCGCAGTGTTTGTTCGTTATACATTCTGTTGGTGCATTATGCATTGCAGCTGTGCATTTCACAATGAGACCCAGTCATTCACTCATGTGGCATATGTTGCTATTATGCACAGGGATTATGCAGTGCTGGAATATTTTGTCGTCCCAGCAGGATTCCTGTTATAGCAGTTTCCCTTGGACTTGCAAATAAACGGACCATTTGCACCTGCAAAGCTTTGTGGCTGAGCCAGGAAGAAAGCCTTGCAATGTTTTGTCGGAATCGGATGTCCCAAAGTGATGCACCTTTTGTATGTACTTATGCACTTTTGTTGTCTCCTTTCTGAATGTGTTTTCAATTTCTTGTTGCCCTGTTGTTGATTTATATTTTATTAAAAAAGAGAGGAAAAAATCAGTTCCTAATCTGTGTCATCCTTTGCAAATGCAAACCAGAATTAGGAGGCTCAAGCAAAGTCTAGTGCAGCGGTTCTCAACCTGGGGGTCGCGACCCCCAGGGGGGTCGTTTGGCCATTTTGGAGGGGTCGCGAGGCCGCCTCCTTAGGCCCCGCCCCCAATGCCGCACCCAGCCGAGGGCTCTCCTCGCGCGAAGTCTCCCTCGCGCGAAGTCTCCCTCGGCTGGGCCACGGTCCCGCCTTCCGACAAGGCCGCGATCCAGCCGAGGCCTCTCCTCGCGAGGAGTCTCCCTCGGCTGGGCCGCGGTCCCGACTTTCGGCAAGGCCACAATCCAGCTGAGGCCTCTCCTCGTGAGAAGGCTTCTTTGGCTGGGCCGCGGCCTCTCCTCGCTCCCCCCTTGGCAGGTTCACGCTATCCATCAGGCCCGATGGACAGCGTGAGCCAGCCAAGGGAGGCTGCTCCGCGTGGTCTACTCACGAGTAAAGCATCTCGCGAGGTGCTTTACTCACAAGTAGGCCGTGCGGGCCTGCTCCTCCCTTGGCAGGCTCATGCTATCCGTCAGGCCTGATGGACAGCGTGAGCCAGCCAAGGAAGGCTGCCCCGGCGCTACATGCAGTCATGCTGGCCACATGTCCTTGGAGGTGTCTATGGACAACACCGGCTCTTCGACTTAGAAATGCAGATGAGCATCACAGAGTCAGACACGACTGGACTTCATGTCAGAGGAAAACCTTTAACCAGGAAAATTGTGGAAGATCCATGATGGGAGAAAGAACTCTTGTCTGTTGGAGGTAGGTATGAATGTTTCAGTTGGCCACCTTGATTGCCATTTCATAGCCTGACAGTTTTTAGGGAGAATCCTTTGTTGAGAGATGATTAGCTGGCCCTGATTGTTTCTTGTCTGGAGTTCCCCTGTGTTTGAGTGTTGTTCTTTATTTACAGTTATAATTTTAGAGTTTTTTAAATACTGGTAGCCAGATTTTGTTCAGACTAGAAATAGGAAGATTTCCCCTTCTCTGCTCCTGGAATTACTGCCTCAAGAGGGCGAGAAAGAACCCCCTCCCTCTCAGGGCCCTTCCACACCGCAAAATAAGATATCTGCAATGTGCAGAGGGATTTTTTAATTGATTTAAAAAAAAAACTATAGTCCGGCCCTCCATCGGTCTGAGGGACAGTAAACTGGCCCCCGGTTTAAAAAGTTTGAGGACCCCTGGTCATGGGAATTCTGTGTACCAAGTTTGGTTCAATTCCATCGTTGGTGGAGTTCAGAATGCTCTTTGATTGTAGGTGAACTATAAATCCCAGCAACTACAACTCTCAAATGACAAAATAAATCCTCCCCAACCCCACCAGTATTTAAATGCGGGCATATTAGGTATCCGTGCCAAATTTGATCCAGTGAATGAAAATACACCTGCATAACAGATATTTACATTATGGTTCATAACAGTAGCAAAATGACAGTTATGAAGTAGCAACGGAAATAATTTTATGGTTGGGGGTCACCACAACATAAGGAACTGGATTAAGGGGTCACGGCATTAGGAAGGTTGAGAAACACTGGTCTAGTGGAATGATGCTTGCTTCCAGATTATTTAGTATCACCCGCTGTTAGAACCCATCCCTTATTTTGTTTTATTTAACCCAAAGATAACCCAAAGATCCCTCCCAAGGAACGGGTGCAGCTGGTGCACAAGTTTTAATTGTGCAAAAGATCCCTTGGCCACTGCCGTATTAAGGATAATAATACTATATTATTATACTCCACCTTTCTCCCTATGGGGACTGAAGGCAGCTAACAATCCACACTAGACAATCATGGCAAAGGAAATGCAAAAAGAAAAAAGAAAAAGAAAAAAAAGGTCCTGTTCAACATCTTTATTAATGACTTAGATGAAGGGCTAGAAGGCAGGATCATCAAGTTTGCAGACGACACCAAATTGGGAGGGATAGCCAATACTCCAGAGGACAGGAGCAGGATTCAAAACGATCTTGACAGATTAGAGAGATGGGCCAAAACTAACACAATGAAGTTCAACAGGGACAAATGCAAGATACTCCACTTAGGCAGGAAAAACGAAATGAAAAGAGACAGAAAGGGGGACGCGTGGCTCAAGAGCAGTATGTGTGAAAAAGATCTTGGAGTCCTCGTGGATAACAAGTTAAACATGAGCCAACAATGTCATGTGGCGGCAAAAAAAGCCAATGGGATTTTGGCCTGCATCAATAGGAGCATAGTGTCTAGATCTAGGGAAGTAATGCTACCCCTCTATTCTGTTTTGGTTAGACCACACCTGGAATATTGTGTCAAATTCTGGGCACCACAATTCAAGAGAGATATTGACAAGCTGGAATGTGTCCAGAGGAGGGCGACTAAAATGATCAAGGGTCTGGAGAACAAGCCCTATGAGGAGCGGCTTAAGGAGCTGGGCATGTTTAGCCTGAAGAAGAGAAGGCTGAGAGGAGATATGAGAGCCATGTATAAATATGTGAGAGGAAGCCACAGGGAGGAGGGAGCAAGCTTGTTTTCTGCTTCCCTGGAGACTAGGACGCAGAACAATGGCTTCAAACTACAAGAGAGGAGATTCCATCTGAACACGAGGAAGAACTTCCTGACTGTGAGAGCCGTTCAGCAGTGGAACTCTCTGCCCTGGAGTGTGGTGGAGGCTCCTTCTTTGGAAGCTTTTAAACAGAGGCTGGATGGCCATCTGTCAGGGGTGCTTTGAATGCAATATTCCTGCTTCTTGGACAGGGGGTTGGACTGGATGGCCCATGAGGTCTCTTCCAATTCTAGGATTCTATGATTCTATGAAATCATCATCATCTTCATCTCCGGTCTTTCCAACATGAAAGTCAAGTCTAGTTTCACTTCTTGAGACCAATTGTGTGGGCAGATATAGAGACT